CCTTCTCCCCCTTCCTCTTTATTTCTCTCTCTCTTCCCCCTCCCTCTCTTCAAATGCAGCCTACTAAAATGTTTTCTATGATGTGCAGTATATTTATTCTCTATTTCTGGCTTTTGTCTCTGACATAAGCTATTGTAACTTTTATGTCTTGAACAAAGGGGCCTTGTCTCTCTCTCTTCAGTTGTAGCCTACTAAAAAGGCTTTGATGATGTGCAGTGTCTCTGTGCTATATTCCCATTTCTGACATAATCCAGTGTGCTTTTTTCTTCTACATAAAATGTGCCTTGTCTCTCACTCTCTCTTTCTCTCTTCAAATGCAGTCTATTAAAAGCCTTTCATAATGTGCAGTGTGTCTGTGCACTATATCTGTCTCTTGTCTCTGGCATAATTCACCATATTTTTTTTTATTTTTTGATAAAAAACAGCCTTGTCTCTCTGTTCAAATGCATCCTACTAAAATGGCATACATGATGTACAGTGTGTCTTTGCTATTTTATGGCTCCTGTCTATCACATAACAGACTGTATTTTGCAGCTGTAGACTGTAATTTTAGTTTTTTTAAACTTCCCTTCTCTTTCCTCTTACTTTGCTGCCCAGCAAAGCTGCCTACATAGTCTCCAGACACTGTGCTATATAACTGGGCCTGTAATTTTTATTCCTTTATAACAACTGTCTCATACCTGGAATGTGGGGTTGTGGTTTTGAAGTGTGTTTGTGCGCTCTGTGTTGACCTTGTATTTAACACAAACTGCTAAGAAACATGTTTTGCCATTGTTTGGCCGTTGAGCAATTTAGCTTTATTTGTTTTAAAAAGTGTAAACCTTCTGATAGCTGTTAGATTAGTTATGTGTACTACTTCAACTTATAATGGTCAGATAAATATCGTATCTACAATAATACTTACCAGTAAAAATTATGAAGATAAGAGCGCATAAAACAATGTATTACACATATGCTGTAATGCCAAAATATGGTGTTGCTGTCTTTGTCACAGAGAATCATACGTTGTTTTCTTTTTGCATTGGTACAAAGTCGTCTTATATGCCGGCAAATACGGTAAGCCCAAAAGTTTTGGCATTAGGTTATTATCAGGTTAAAAGTTTGTTATAAATGAATAGAAGTTTGCAATGATGCTGTATTTTATATTGCACAATAATTGGTTCCAAGTTTTCCATTTTTTTTTAAAAAACTGTGTCCTAATTCACAAGCCGCATAATACCTCAAAGGCTCCAGGGAAGTGTAAGTTTTCAGTGTAGAATGATAAATCCAAGAAAAACTCAAACAGTGGTTGGCATATTATAGGATGGTGTCTATGATGAAGAGTTTGGAAGCTGAAAAATATTATGTGTTTATGCGCCCATGGAATTTGATATTTTGGGTATCTTCCTCGGTATTAACTTTTAATTAGGTAGCACTAGCAGTATGCTCAGGACTCAGTGGCCATATAATTACCCTTTACAGTCCACATGACTTATCACTTAAGGTATTTTAGCTTAAGTGCCTAAAGTAAGGCCCCAGTCACACTGCGCGATTTGCATTTTCCGCGATATCGCGCAAATGCTTGCATTGCAAAGAATGGAATTGCGGCAAAATCCACTCCAAAAAGGGTCCTGCTGTAGCGACGCATGACCCGCGACAGCAGGACCCTTTGCCCCATTTCCTTGCATTGGAGAGCGATATTGTGCGGTAAATTGCCGCGATATCGTGGGATAAATCGCTCAATGTGAACGGGGCCTTAAGGGTATCCCAAGGCTTAGCAAAAACTACATTTTTACAGAATATTTCCACCAAAATTGATATGTGTACATTCGTTTAATGCTGGCAGAGCATCCATTAAAATTATGCAGTTAGCAGGAAAAAACCCACAAACTTTAGTGTTAATTTATGAAAAGCATACTGTACCTAAGCATTAGGGATGCACAGATACTTTTCAAGTACCAGTGCAGATACTAGGGATTTTCATGAGAACTACCAGGGTTGCAGCGGTTGCAGCTGGGACCTGGCTCTGGCGCTCCACCACTGTCCTGAAATCATTAGTCTGTATTGATTTAGAAAAACTGTCACATGACAATAAACAAAAATGTATCAGTACTCATACTTGTAAGTACTCGGCAAGTAGCAGTACTCGTACTCGCAAAACTGTTATCTGTGCATCACTTTATTTATATTTATAAAAACAAAATCGTACATTAAAACAGAGATGTACAAATCCCAGGAGCTCCATGTGCTCCTTACAAATGACAGCTGGCTCCTAATTTTTGAATTTTTCTCTAGTCTAGTCTTGGAGCTCAAAAGTATCGGTACATGTATTCGTACTTGTACCGAGTACTGTACTTGGTATCTGTGCAACCCTACTAAGCATGCTAAAAAAAACGTGGCTCTCTATTTTGTTTCAGCTTTCTTTGATGGTTTTTATAAATCAGCCCCTATATTTGCTTAAAGTTTTGAAAAAAATATCCTCTTTCTCTAATTATTTACTCATTTAGTGTGGTGCACTAATAAGAATTGGCCTCTTCTGGAGCTTTCTAAACAATTGAATTTTACAATAGTATAAGCCACTATTTAAAATAAGTTGTTTATGCAACAGATAAAGTTACAGAGCTAATTTTTGGACTGATATTTTTAAGTTCATGCCAAGCCTGGAAATCCAATTGAACAAAGGAAGTGCTGCAAATGTAATTCATATGATCAATAAAGACTTGTTTTCATTTACTTTTTACCAGTCTGTGGTATTTTCTATAGACAATAATGTGATTATTGTAAGTGAGGTAACTGCTCAAATGAAAATAATTCATAAGTATGCACCAGAAAATAATCTTTATAGATGCATGCTGATCTCAGTACACATTTGTTTCACTGTAGTGCCAATTGATATAGGCTGCCAATTAAAATAGGGTATATGTATACCCTTTCCCCCGCATGGAGGCAGCATCATTCAATGTGTATATACACACACAAACTATGCAGTGATGTCATCATGCGCTGCAACAATGCTATCACGTTGCGACCTTCATTAGTCTATTTTTAGCGCTAATGCTGCATCACTTCCAATTTCAGAATAGTTAAATTAACCCTTTCTTTTCTCACATTATGAGGGATATTTTTTTAAATCTAATTATTCTATATATTAATTTAATATTATTGACCATGATAATGTTTTCACATCAATTTCGTTTTCTGTTCATCGAATAATTATTTATACTTCTATTTACATACACATTTATTTATCATAGGGTGGTTTGCTGGTAATCCCTTGAGTAAGTACCAATCATGCTTATGTCTCATTCTTGTTCAGTTTTTGTTTTCCTCCCACTCAGTAGAGACTCTCTAGTTCTTCTTTTCACCTTTCTATTTGCCACTTCCACATGAGAGTTTGGATATCCTCTTTATAGAAATCTGGCCTTTAAATTTTCACATTCTTTTTAAAATTCTTCTACTGATGAGCAATTCCTCCTTGCTCTCATGAATTGTCCTGTGGATTTCCCTTTTTTTAAAAATGTTTGTGGGTGATGGCTTTGCCAATAAAGAAATCTGTTAATAGATGTAGGTTTTCTATAAACATCAGTATTTATTCTCCCATCTTCATCCTTTTTATACTTAAATCCAAGAAATGAATTGATGATCATGTCATTTCACTTGTAAAAACATACTAATAACATCCCCCTTTCAGTTGTTGCACAAATGCCTTGAATGTTTCTTTGGTTGCATTCCAGGAGAAGAATAAACCATCTATAAATCGAATTCATATTTATATATGGGATGTAAATCTTCAAAAACTTTTGGTGAATACTATTGTCTTCTCCCACCACCCCAAAAATAAATTGGCATATGTAGGAGTGCAAATAGTTCCCATTGCTGTCCCTTTTTTGTTTATATATCATCCCATTAAATAGGAAAAAAATAATGTTCCAAAATGAAACGCAAAATTGCAGTATAATTGAAGTACAAATATTTATGTTTTTCAAGATGTTTTCCTCTTGTTCTCAAAAGATATTCACAAGCTTTTAGACTTTTATACCCAAGGGCTGTCTGATGTTACTATACAGTGCCTCAACATCAAGGTTTGCTATAAATGTATCTCCTGTTACTACCAGACCTTGTAATTTATTCACAAAATCCCTTGTGTTTGCTGAATAGGAGAACTATGAATTCAAAAACAGGTGTAGGATCCTATCCACATATTTACTTAATCCTTCTGTGAGGTAATGATTTGCAGAAATTATTGTCCGGGTGGATCCTTTTCCATTTTTATGGCTCTTTGGTAAAGAATAACATTTTACCATTCTCCTCACCATGAATTTATACTCAAGTTTCTCTTCAGTTTATCCAGATATTCCTGAGTGGGATCTTCTCCTAACATTTTATAACTTCTCATCTCCCAGAATTTTTAAACACATTTTAGGATATTGTTCTGTTATTCTCTTAGTGCCTTAGACACCTTATAAGACAAATTATGTTTCCATTTTCCTCTTTACCTTTTCTGAGAGTTGTACAGCTGTACAGTTGTACAGTTGTACAACAGTTGTACACCTGTTCCAGATGGCACATATTTTGCTCTCTCTGTGATGACAGGATGAGCTCTGCCACTTAGTGTCACGCCTGAGGGACACCCCTGATGAAGTCACGAGCTGACGTAACGTGCGTAGGGTGGAGCTTGGGAGCGAACCGTGCTGACAGAGACTCTAAGGATTGAGATTTCTCCAGTTGGAGTGCCTGCAGACGGTTTTAATATTCGATTCAACATTGTTTTTATGTAAGTAACATTTAATGGTGTGCACTATAGAGGCTTCCTCTGTTTGCAATATGTACTCCGGAGTTTGAGAAGAGATGCATTGCAGAGCCTGAGTCACGATTACTGGCCGACCTGGTGTATGGTTACTGGGATGTAGGGCAGAAGCAAGGAGAAGAAGGGCCGGACATCCTTCAGCTCTTTAGTAAATAACCCCCTCAATGTAATATGCAAATCAGAATAAGGCAAATATAATATCTGTTCTAGACTTTGACCTATCCAAGGCTGACCATTGTTTTTCTTTTGTGTATTGAATACATGTTCCCAGGAGGGCCTCACTGCTGGTGTTCATGGTTTTATTGCATCTACCCTTAAATTGACACTGAATAGTACTAAGATAGATAGAAATCATCACAGCATTAAAGCAAATAGTATTTATTTTAAGATTTATAATGTTCAGTGTGTTTGAAGAATATCCATTTGCAAGAAAATATTTTTATTAAATGTTCTCTGTTTCCCTCATTTTTTTTTAGTAAAAAGAGGCCATTGCATGGTGAATGGAATGGTAATGTATGACAAGACCGTCTGGTCACCCAAGCCTTGTGTCACCTGCATGTGTTCTAATGGGAAAGAGATCTGTGATGAAACAATCTGCCCTTCTCTCAGCTGCTTTAAAACCGTGACCAAGGAAGATGAATGCTGCCCAGTATGCAATGAAATTGGTAAGAAGTAAGTCACTTTAACAACCACTTGCGGCCTGGAGCAATTTCTCACTATTTGCAAACACATGATATACCGTATTTGCCGGCGTATAAGACGACTCGGCGTATAAGAAGACTCGGCGTATAAGACGACTCGCGTATAAGAAGACTCGGCGTATAAGACGACCCCCTACTTTTTGTGTTAAAATATAGGTTTTGGGCTATACTCGTTGTATAAGACGAGTATAGCCCAAAATAATTTTTAAATGCACCCACTAACATCCATGGCGGTATTCCCGAGTGTTTTCAGTACCATAAGCGGTAACCCCGAGCCACACACGGGATTACAGTCTCTTACCTTGTCTGCAATCCCCGCTGTGTCCTCTGTCTTCCGTTCCTTGCGAGCGGGGTGGAACCAGCAGCAATTTTAAAAGTAAAAAAAAAAAATGGAACAAAAAATGAAAAAATAAAATAATCAGACCGCCAGGGAGGCTAATCTGTCAGCCCGTGGGATGTGTGGTAATACTGTATGTACAGTAGAATCGGTACATACAGTTCTGAATTTCTGGCTAGAAAACAGCTTCAAACCCCCAAACAATCATATATTTTCTGAAAGCAAAGGCTCTATAGAATAAAAAATGCTAGTTGTAATGCACGGTATTTGTGCAAATGTTTATTAAACCATTATTTTTAGGATAAAATACACTAAAATTAAATTGAGTCCACAGAAGCAAAATACAATACCCAGTTTTGTCATAAAATATAAAAGATGGGGTCACACCGGGTAAATAGATACCAAACATGTGAAGCCTTAAAATTGCGTTCATTTGTGAAGTCACAAAAAAATTAAATACCCCAAATTTTCCATAGGGGACACTTTAAAACTTTTACCTCTCATTACATTAGTGCTAACAGTTATTAATGGCTCTAGAATTATTGCTCTCACTCTGACGTTCACAGGGATATGTAGCACAATTTTTATTTTTGCACGTAGGCTCACCAACGCGTGTTTGCACATGTATGTGCGTGCACATGAGGAGCAGGGGAGTTAAAAAAAAAGTTTTTTTCTTTTTTACATTTTTTTCTTTCTTTAGTTTTTAAAATGTATGTGCGTGCACATGGGGAGCGGGGGACTTAAAAAAAAAGTTTTTTTCTTTTTTACATTTTTTTCTTTCTTTAGTTTTTTAAAAATTTTTAAACACTTTTTTTTTTTACACTAACCTTATTGCTATCACATAGGGGGATAACAAGTCCCCTATGTAATAGCAGATAGAGTGTGACAGGTCCTCTTTAAAGAGATATCAGGGGTAATGTCGCCTAGGGACCCCAAAGAAGCTGAGGAAGCAGAGATCTGCTAGCCCAGCTTCTTCTCCTGGCTCTAAGAGCTGGAGAATGTATACAGTGACATCGGAGGTGATGTAATACACATCACTTCCGGGTCCAGTGATCCAGTGAGGAGAGATCAGCGGCCCCGGTAGGGGGAGCGCACAGCGCCGCACCGTACAAACGATCCAGTGGCTGTATAGACGCCGGATTGCTTGTACCTGAACAGCCATCTCCGGCTGTTTAAAATGACACCAAGATGTTTAAAATGACACCAAAAAATGTTCTTGGTTTAACCACTTCTGCGGGCCACCGTATATGTACGTATTGCGGCCCGTTAACTAATACCAGGTGATCCTTTTTACCAGCTTTTTTTACCAGCTCACCTTATACAGCAAAGATTACATCTAACAATTAAAACTCTGATAATATATCTTCTGAACTGCAACATCACATGACACAGGATACTAGATATAAGGCAAACCATATCCGCAGTCATACAAACCTTGCATTTTAGTCATTTTATGTTTTTTTACAGCAACAAAATCGTTGTTATTGAATTCCCCTGGTATTTCATTGTGTTTATAGTTTATATTTTTATGGTTTATACATAGATTAAAAAAAAATGTCTGTGTTTTCAGACATTGCTCTACTTAAAATAGACAATGCCACAGACATGCCCCAAGTGGTTCTGCCAGTAATCCGGGAACAGGTTTTAAAGTTACATCGCCAAAACTACCTGCCCTCTGTAAAACATCTTTTTGACCTCCTACTCATTCATATGCTAAAATATTAAAGGGTTATTAAACCCCTGGTGGTTTTTGCATATATCTACTGCTAGCAAGCAGTAGATATATGCAAAATGATAAAAAAATAAAAAAACTTTTTAAAAGAGTTAATACTTACCACGTGCTACCGTCCGAACATCTGAAAATGTCACTGGTGGGCGCATGCGCAGTTCAGATGTTCGGCCGGGAGACGAGGAGAGACACAAGGTAAGTATATGGAGCAGCGTGCACCTGCACAGACACCGTAGGACATGAGAGTAGAGGTGGACAGGGGAGTCAGTGCTGGATTGGAGACCCGCAGCAGCAGCGCTGGAGGGACAGCTCAAAAGGACAGGAAAGAAGAAGATGATCGGATTAAGAGACATCATTTAAGGTAAGTCCTTACATTAGCATTGTGGCGGGGGACTTTTGACTTTAATGTCACTTTAGGTACATTTTGCTTATAGAAAGTCTCCCAACCACCAATGTATCAGCAAATTAAAAAAATATTAGTAATTATTCTAACATAGGATCATTGCAGGAACATGGGAGATTTCAACGGTAAATTACTTCATTCATTTATTTTTTCAAGTAATTATTGTATTTACAGTGTAACCATGTGGGTTAGAAAAAAATCCCAGAGTGTGATAACTGGGCTGATCGGAATCTGGTTCCATCATAATTGTTTATTTAGTATAATTAATGTATTGTCATTCTTTTTGGTTGGGGAGGGAGCGAAGAAGAGATAACTTTTTGAACTTTTGTTTTTTATTAAGGCTGAAATCTAAGCAGATATAAAAGACCCAAATGTTGCAGATCTGTATTCATTAACACACCCTTAAATGCAGTTTTGGAATGGAACAGGCTAATTTAAAGTGACACTAAACTCAGGAATTAAAAATACATTCAAGTACCTTAACTATTAACAAAAATTAACCTTACTTGTACATCACTCAGCTGTAGATGCGCAATTCATGTTCCCCATGGTCCCTGTGTGTGTGTGTGTTGTAAAATAGATTAGGCTCCCTTGATGGACTACAATCTCAACACAAATTAGTAAACTAAACCTGAGATTGTAGTCTATCACAGGAGCAAGCTTGGAGTGATGGCTACTTTACAACATACACAGGGATCACGGGGAGCAAAAATAGCCTCCTTACAGAAGAAAGGACGGTGTCACCACAAAGTCAGAAATGATTTGAGGATCTACAGCTGAGTGATACACAAATAAACTAAATTTTTGTTAATAGTTAAGGTACTTGAATGCATGCTTAGGGTTCAACTCCTAAGGTTATTACCACTTTAGCCTTTTTCATTCCCTCTGTAGTAGATCTTAGACTGGAGGAGGTAGAAGCAGTACAAGGAGCCAATGGGTTGTGCTGCAGTGCAAGGAACATGCTGATAGAAAGAAAAAGAGAGAAAGAAAGAAAGAAAGAACGAAAGAAAGAAAGAGCAAAAGGACACAGAGATAAGCTCATGAGTGTGCTGCTTCTACATTCACTGTCCAGTCACAAGCTTTGGAGGGACAAGACTTGTAAGTGTTACTTAACTGCAGCAGAGAAAATTTAGCCATTTTGCCCTGCCAGACAGTGATGTCATCTCTCACATAGATCACTAGATCACACCCCCTCCTGCCCCACAACATAGTGAGCCAGCCGCAATGCGATGCAGTGCGTCCTGGCCAGAATCGGGTCGGAACGCACTGTATCTGGTGTGAATTAGGCCTTTAAAGAAGTCAGTCAGAGTACAGGATTACACCAGGCAACCTGGGTAGCTTCTTGGTTACTGATGAATGCCACTGCCATGGAATTGTCAGGATGTATTCTCACTGCATTATCCTCTAAACAGTGGGTCCAATGCAACAGAGACAGTCTTATGGCTTATATTTCTCAGAATGCCTGCCCAGCTAGAATGACTTGCATCCATGATTAAGACTGTCAAGTGAAGGAGCAGGAAGGACCTGCCCAGAGTCAACATTGGCAACTATAGCCAACTTAACAAGGATTTCTTGGTCTCCAGTCAGAGACAAGACTTTCTGTCCAAGGAAAACAGAAACTATACAGAGGCAATGCAGTCACAGATTTTTTTTGTAGTTGCCAAATGTATACTAAAGCTGCTAAATTTGACCTGGGTGTCCAGGTTTCAATGAACCTGAACACCCATCTTACGCTTTTTAAAACCATTTCAAATTGCTTCTGAAAATATTAGTATCTGCAACAAAAATTAACATAGTTGCAAATGAGTAACATTTATGTACCATAGCACTAATTTAAAAAAAGCGGATGGCATATGTTTTATCTAATTTACTAACATTATTTTAAAACTGATCTCTAGGCAGATATAAAAGAGACACCAAAATTCAGCTCTGTAAACCATCAATATATACTTATTGTGTTTTTAAATGCAAGCTGTGAAAGTACCAGAATGTAACCTGATAGCCTCTTGTATAGCAAATCTGGAGGGTCGACAGGAAGAAGCAGTACCAGGAGGCAATCAGTTTATATGCTGATAAAAATCATGCTAATAGGAATAGAAAGCAAAGAGAGCTGAACTAATCCCCATGCTGCTTCTCTTTTCACTGTCCAGTCACAAGCTGGGATTAGTCCTAGCTCAAAGGAAGTGGGTTGAATGATGGCGGTCAGCCAGCCTGAATACACTTAGTGGAAGAAAAATTACCACAAGGGAAAATCTCTGGATTAAAGCAAAAGCTAGTTTTGTTTTCTTATTTTTATTTTATTTATTTGTTTTGTTTCCTAATGGTCTAGTCGTATTTATATCGTATAAAAATATAATAAAATAAAATATACATGTCAGAGTCTGCTAACATAACTTAACCATTTTATGCCATGTTGTCTTTTTCCTATAAAAGAACCTAACAGCATATTAGTGGACAATAAGATTGAATTCTCTGGTGACTTTCCAGAACTAGACGACCGCAATAATATGATTTTATTGAAGACCTTGCTTACTCAAGTAGAAATAGATAAGGTCAGGAAAAAAGAAGAAAATAGCAAGAAAATGGGAAAAATAATTAAGAAGGGGCAACAGAAAAAGAAAAACGAGGGGAAAAGGCCAGAAAAAAAGAAAAAAGAAATGGCATTGAAGGATAAAGAGGAAGAGAGAATGGAAGAGGAAAGAAGAAAAGCATATGAAGAGGAGGAATTGAGGCTAGAAGTGCAAATGAAACTGAAAAAAGAAGAGGAACTGAAGAAAGAAGAAAGGAGGAGGATTAAAGAAGAGGACAGAAGCGATGAGGAGGAGAGCCATTTAACTAGAGACTGTAAGCCACAAAACAGAGGAGACTGTGACCAGAAAGAGGAAGAAGAAGATGATGAGGATGATGAAGAGGATATATTAGATGTTTTAAGGGTCCCAAGGAGGCGTATTCCAAATGTGAACAACCATCCTCTACCCCCTGGATGTTTCATATCAGAAATTACTATAAGCTGCTCTAATGCTAAAATGACAGGAATTCCTCCAATTTCAAATTACGATGTCAAAAGCTTGGATCTTCTAGGTAAGTTATGCTGAATACTACTAAAGCTGATATATTTTATTAAAACTGCTGGCCAGTAAAAAAAACAACAACATTTAATCCAGTTATGTATTGCTTATAAATCTTTGAACCCAACACCAGCCCAAATCACTTCCTTTAGGGAAATCTGGCCATACACTAATGTTTTCTCATTCAGCCCTGTGGAGTGAGAAAAAACAATTGATTTCCCCTCTACACCAAACAACGTGGATGAGGAAATCCCCCCTGCTGGGCTATTGTACTCACCCGCACACCCGCTGCTGTCAGAGTACCCCAACAGTGCCTGCAGCTGATTGGCTCCTTCGACAAAAGTAAATTGAAAAATGTACTTTATTGAATAAAGGGGATTCGAGTCCTGTTTTTAGGGGTCTTGTTGGAATGCATGCTGTGCATCCATGTGACCCCAGGGGAGGAAGAAAGCTGGGAGGAGGTAACTGTAAGACTTACCCCTGTGACCTGGTGGTATGCATCTGCATGCACGCCCCCGTCAAATTCACCAGTGCCTAAGTTTCCACAGTGGCCCCCTCTACTGAAGCATCTATAGGTAGGTAAAGGAGGGGACGGTGACTGGAGGAGGCAGGCATTTTAGAGGCAAAGAATCAGATTAGATACCTGCACTCCTTTTCTCAATGTTCCCTAAATTGACAGGAAACTACTGAGGTAGATGTGGTGGAGTTAAGATTAGTACTCTACTGCTCCTGTCTTTCAGGGGGCAGATCCCCTCTTTCTTGTGCTGCGGGAAAAGTGCTAGAAGAGGTAGCAATATACAGTATAATAATGATTGTATCTTATTATATTTTAGGCAATTTAATTACATCAGTTCCAAAGGATGCATTCAATGGAATGCCAAACCTAGAAATGATTAATCTCAGCAAGAACAAACTAACAGCCACAGGTATAGATCTGCATGCATTTAAGGTAAGCAACATGACAATAAATGCCTATTGACTTTGAAAGCAATTCCAGCCTTGCAATCATAGACAATGTCTTTGATTACACAATATTTAGGGTAGATAAATGAAAGGAAAAGAAATCAGCAGCATAACAGTATTATTTTACTTCACAGATTTAACCACCCCACTCTTTATACCTGGTAGCTAGAAAACAGAACACTGTTAAAAGATACAAGAACCACTGATGATTCTTAACTGTCTGATCATATTGGTACAGCTTTTAGTAGTATAATCAAACATAGGGTCTACAAATCAGAGACTCCATTCAAAATATTTTTTTTCTGTTTTTTTGGTAAAAAAAAAAGGCATTTTATACAAACTGAAATGATGAAAGAGAGATATTATAAAGTCTAAGGGGTATATTTTTTAAACAATTCTCAGGGTTATACATTCATACATTGCATGTACATTAATTCTGTGTGAATGGCAGTAAAAATGAATGTTATTAGTATATTTTCTTTTCAGCTCAAATTAAATAGCCAGCTGTGCACTTTTTAATTACCTTATTTTAAACTTAATACTCCACACAGTAACTTTTCACCTTAGCCTTTCTCTATTTTGTTTTACCTTTTTTTAACATACACTCATATTTTACTTCTTCTATACAGAGAAAAAGGGTACACTTTTTCTGCAAGTCCCAAACTGGTGTTTCTCCTCTGACTAAACATATATATATCTATATAGATCTATCTATATAGATATAGATTGCAACTTCATCGCAAAATTATAGCTAATTATAGCAAATTTGCCTACAAACGTCAGGTGGTCATAATAATGCAAGATATCTTTCCAAAGTGATGGGAAATCTCCTAAGACAGTTGTCACTACAAGAGGTGTTTCCACTTGAAGATTTCCCTTTAGCTGCTTTACTTGTAACAACTGTAAAATGTTGGACTTCCCATCACTTTCAGTCCAGTAATAATGGACAACAGGACCTAAAGAGAGGGTAAACTTTCCAAGAGGAAACACAGACAGCAACAAAAAGGTAAAATCCCTCACATACAAAATATACAAGCAACCCCAACAACAGAACAGTCACCTTGGCTGAGAAAAAGACTTGCATGGCTGCTTGTAAAAATTAGCCAAAAGTTGCCAAAAAAGGGATCAGAAGGGGCTTAAAAAGGCACCCGGTAAAACCTAAAAAGTGTGAACAGCAGACCAAGTCGCAGTCTTACATTCATATAAACCTGCACAGAAAAACATGCAGATAACAGTGAGCAATTGCCATGTGATGCACAGACGCAGAACACATGGATGGCAGCACTCATTGTTCAGTTTGTCAATTCAAAAACTGAGGTGGTTTGTAATCAGTCTTGCAAAAAGTCACATACTGTATATTGTAGTAACAGCCATAAAAACAAAAACAGTCATATGCGCTACAGTTTGAATCACTGTTATATTTATCACTACTTTAGCTTTCATGCTGAAAACATTATTTCGTAGTGAACTCATGTAATTTGAATCCAAGTTCTCTGTGGTGTGTTAAGTTTAATGTTTGTATTCTCTTTTGTCTCAAAGCCACTAAAGGATCTAAAACGTCTGTACTTGGATGGAAATCTCCTTGACCGAATCCCACCTGAGTTGCCATCAACCTTGGAGGAGCTTAAAATAAATGAAAACAAACTTGGAGGCCTTGAGAAAGACAGCTTGAAAGGTATCAGGAAAAATCTTCAGATTTTCTTTTCTAGTTTTAGATGTGGTGATGGTGAGAACCTTTTTAATTGGTTTTTATTATGCCTGTGTCACTCTTAGGAAGAATCATCTTCACTATTTTTCCTAGTGACCATTTCCTGTGAGGCAGAATGTGAGGGGATATCAAAAGTTTTAGGGCCTGTGTCAATGGGCTTTGGGCTTGTTGCAATAGCATTAGTTCGAAATCAGTTTGTGATGTTTGTGAGACCATTCAGAATAAATTGACAGGTACAATAATTGACCTGCAGTTGACCTCCTTTTGACCTGCTTTAAGTGGGTTTTGCACTCCCTTACACTTGTATGTGCATCAGGGCTGTATTAACATAGGGACGGGTGGAGCTGCCGCTCCAGGCCCGCCCCTGCAAATAGGTCTGGCCGACCTGGAACACCTCAGTATCTGGGTCGGTGACCAGCCGCAATCAGGCAGCGGCAGCACTCTATCCAGGCATATTAGAGGGCCGCTCGCTCCTCACTAGGGCCCCGCGAACAGCCCTCTAATATGCCTGTATAGAGGGCCACAGGCAGTGACTGGCTACAATCTATTCAGGCATAATAGAGGGCCATTCGCTGGGGTCTCTCAGTTTCCCTGAGAGGCCCCAGCGAGCACTTACTGCCATGGATGGCATATTATTAGCGGTCACAATTAACATGAATTGCATTGTCAATAAATGCCTGTTTCCTCAGTAATCACGGTTTGTGCGCAAGCGCAAATGCTGAGGCTGGCAAGTCCGACTTGCTCTGAGTTCCCGACAGGACAGCGGCCCTCTAAAAAGCCTGAATAGAGGGTCGTTGGGCTGCCTGATTGCTGCAGCACGTCATCAGCACTGACTGCCCGGAGCCCACACTAATCACCCAAAGCACGCACTGACCATCGCACTGACCACCCAGAGCACGCACTGACCGCCAAAGAGCACGCACTGACCGCCAAAGAGCCCGCACTGACCACCAAAGAGCCCACACTGACCCCCTTAGTGCCTGCACTGGCCACCCTAGAGCCTGAACAGCCTCCTGAGAGCCTGCACAGCCCCCCCCTGAAACCCTGCACAGCGCTCCTGAGACCCTGGAGACATCAGGCCGTGAACCTGAAGCAACCCAGAGTATGTAGCTTTAGAGTATTCTGCATTGCTGTATAAAGCATTGCTGGGATTCTTAGTCCTCTATAGCTGATGGCATTATTCTGCAGTGCTTAACAATGTATTGCTGGGATGTGTAGTTCTCTATAGTTGGCGGTATTCTGCATTGCTGTGTAATGTATTGCTGGGATTTGTAGTTATCTATAGTTGGTGGTATTCTGCATTGCTGTGCTAATTATTGCTAGGATTTGTAGTCCTCTATAGTTGGTGGTATTCTGCATTGCTATATAATGTATTGCTGGTATTTGTAGTCCTTTATAGGTGGTTGTATTCTTCATTGCTGTATAATATATTGCTGAGATTTGTAGTCCTCTATATTTGGTGTTATTCTGCATTGCTGTATAATGTTTTGCTAATATTTGTAGTACCTCTGCAACTTGTAGTCATTGGCAAGCTCACAGCTGCAGCCGGGTCCTGGCACTCCACCACTGACTCCAAGCTGTAAAGAGACTACAAATCACAGCCCGGACAGGAGGAAGAGGGCCCTGGTGACCGTCAACATTTCCATAAAAAGGCCCACTGAAATCCTCAGCACCAGGCCCGTCCTCTTCATCCAGTCCTAATGGGCATGCAAAACTCACTTGAAGTGAACAAAAACCCATCAACATGGGTCCTTACAGTTGTTAGCAGAACAGGAGTAGAGGTGAAACATTATAATGGGGCCACCTTTTCTTGTGACAACTGTCAAAGGTGGGGTTTTCACCTATGTTGTCACATTCTTTTGTATAGGAAGTAAATTGAATGCAGGCAAAAATAAAAAAAACTCCGGAGGTTCTAATTTCCCCCCACTGTACCTACATTTTTATTTCAAGAAAGTGGTGGCTGAAATTCTACTATGCACCACCCAAAAGTATATTTCATTATCTGCATGCACCACCAGTATTTACTTATTCAAGATGTTACATTTACTAGCTAATACCCATATGTTTCATTTTTCTTTTATTAAAAGAGAACCATGGTTAAACCTTTTCTGGCTGTAGTTCTCTTTATGGTCTCAGGAGGACATTTATTAAAGTCCTCCTGTGACCCAAAATTCAGCACATAGTGGGTTATTGGCAGCTATATGCTGAGAGTGCAGAGTCGCACTGTAGCTATAAAAGATCCCGACAATATTGTCGGGATCCACCCCGCTGCATGATTGACAGCTGGCTCTGCCTCTCTAATCAGGGCTGGAGGAACGAAGAGGGAAGGGGGGAATCCCTGACTGACGGTCACCGCTCTCTGCAGGGAGAACATTGTGAACTGAGCTATCAGCGGTATGTGATAGCTCAGTTCTCGATCTTTAGAGCCGACGTGTGACACATATAGTGTCACACATCAGCTCTAAGTTTCGGGAGTGTATTTCACTCTCCCCATAATTTTACTTTAAATTTTCACAGTTTCAAAGCCCAAATTAGCTAAATGCATTGAAGGTGCATTAAAACAAAAGTGAGCAAGTTCAGTTTGTTTTCTTTAAGCAGTGGTCTATTTGCATAGGTCCCGCAAACACCCTGCAAAACCAGAGCCAAAGCTCTGCAATCAGCAGGGAACATTACCTTTGTGGATTGCAGAGCTTTAAGTCTGAGTCAGTAGAGGTGTGTTGAGCCTGTGCATCCCCACAGAGAGCAAGGACCCACTCTGCAGCTGCTGGCAGGAGGCAGGCTTTTCTACTCAGGCTGTAGCTGCTTTATAAAGACGATGAACTGTAAGACATGGAGCGCCTTTTGTTTTGATGCACTTAGATTGTATTTCATTGATTTAAAATGATGGTTTAATTTGATTGTAATGTCTGATATTAAAGCAAAGAACAAATAAACTGGAGTGGAAAAAAATCAAATTATGAATTGTAACAAAATTTAACAACATTAATCTAAACTTCTGACTCAAAGTAGTTACTTATATTTACATTGTTGAAGAGATTGATTTAGATCTATGGAGAGTCAGATGTAAATGGTCATGTATTAATTGACATCAGATTATCCCCAATCCCTTGCGATCAGGTTTTGTTTGGTTTTCCCGACCTGGAAACAATCAGTGGTAATTGGATGTAAAGGGATGCACGTCTGTTTAAATCTGACTGCCTGTAGACTAACATAGCTTCCGATCAGATCTGCCAACAAGCTGACAGGTGGACCTGATCAGACCGCTATCTGAAGGGGCCTAAGTGTGTGAGTTTGTGTCTTTAAGAACTCCCATAACCCTGTATATTATGCTCATTGAGGAAGACATCAAAAAGATTTTAAAATTTATCAAACCTCTCATCTAGTACTATATCCTTGGGGTGGGGGAGCCACATTTTCACTGCTTTAACAGAGAAGAAAGGTTGCACCTCCTTTTCTCTCATTTCTAATTGTGTCCTTGTGTCTTTTTCAGGAGCCTTAGAGTAAACTGTGTATTTCAGTTAATATAGTTGCCTTTGATATACAGTACATGTGCAGTGTGATCATACCTCCACTTAAGTGCCTATCCTCCAGGGTGAATAACCACAACTATTGTAATTGCTTTTTATAACATGTCCTCCAATGCATTATTGTAGTTTAAAACATCCTTTTTATGGTTTGGTAACCAAAACTGAACTGCACATTCAAGATGAGGCTGAAAAATTGTTTTGTAAAGAGGAAGAATTATTGATTTATCTCTTGAATGTATGTTAATTTAATGTATGAGAATATTCTGCAAGCTTTGTTAGCTGCAGATTTGCATTGCATGCTATTGTATTTTTACCACCCAAGAGCAAGGGTGTATTTACTGTGAGACAAACAAGGCGTTTGCCTTGGGCGGCACTTTACAAGGGGGCGGTGAAAAATGCCGACCCCAAATCAAAGAGGCAAGCCGGGCGCACAGAATCAGGCAGCCTTGGTTGCCTAATCAGTTGGGTGGCGGTGGGCCCTGGCAACGAGATGCCGGGTGAAACGGAGGCGGGGCCGAGGTAGATGCAGCCCAGCCGGCGGAGGTTGCGGGTGGCTTGAGAAAGAAGCTTCGGGCGGCTCCAGGCTGGAGGAAGAAGCGTACTAGAAGTAGGCTGGGGAGCTGCTAATAAGAGGAGCAGCACATCTACAGGGAAATAGACCCTGCAGAGCCCACCATAGATCCTGCACAGCCCACCTGAGTGTCTCTGTGCAGGGTCTATGGTGGGATCTGCAGGGTCTGTGGTGGGTGCTGCGGGGTTTGCAGGGACTCAGCTGGGCTGTGCAAGGTCTATGGTGGGCTCTGCAGGGTCTATAGTGGGTGTTGCAGGGTCTATGGTGGGCGCTGTTGGGTCTATGGTGGGCGCTGCTGGGTCTATGGGGGGCACTGCATGGTCTATGGTGGGGTCTGCAGGGATTCAGGTGTGCTGTCCAAAATCTATGGTGGGTTGTGCAGGGTCTATAGTGGTCTCAGCCTGATACCCTGCAGAGCCCACCAGAGATCCTTTACAGCCCACCTGAGACCCCGGATTCCCTGCTACGCTAATAACGCAACCTGTCAGATGCAGCATAAAGCGATTGACAGGTTATGCAAAATGTGCTGAGTTTCGTCTTGCCTAGGGCATCACGAAACCTAAATACACTGCTGCCCAAGAGCATAACTGAACCTCATATGCCATTCTCCTATGCTGCATCATGTGTCAAATGTATTCCCCTGCACAGTATGGTATCATCCACAAAATCTGAAACTGAACTTTTGGTTTCAACCTCAATATCATTAATAACTAAGATAAACAGCATTGGCCCCAAACCTGGGGTACACTGCTCTCAACCCTAGCCCATTTAGAGAATGAGTCATTTATCATTACTCTCTGGACACATTCCTGTAACCAGTTTCCTATCCATGTACACACAGTTTTAGACACTATTTTATAAATAAAACT